GGTAAAATGTTTTTCGTGGGTCGCCATATTAATATTTTATACGTGTTTAAAAATGCTACTGCGGTTTTTACTTTTTTTTTTTTTTTTTTTTAATTTTTGTTACGTAATTTTACTTTTTTCTTTCTTTTTTTCTTTCTTTACACCGTCTCGTTTACGAAAGAGAAAACTAAATACTTTCGATAATCGATCGATAAATTTTAGCATGTATCGAAAAATTAACATTATCGAACAATGGCGGTAGTAATAAATTCTTTATTTTTACATAATTCAATTTTTTTTTTAATAAAATGTAGTCGGTCTTTCCATCTCTCTCTCTCTCTCTCTCTCTCTCTCTATCTGTCTTTCTCTTTCGGGTTTTATAAGGTGTAAATGTCGTAGGCGTCACATTCGCACATATGGTGGAAAAAAATTTTTTTTTTTTTTTTTTTTTGGTAGGAGGCCATTAAAAGAAAATAAAAGTGATGAAGAAACGAAAAAAAAAAATAGATTTACCCTTAAAATAAAAAAAAAAAAAACTCGTTAGCAATGAAATTTATTAATAATAATAATAACAATACGTACAAAATGAAAAAGAATAATAATGTTTGTTTTTTTTGTTTTTTTTCCCCCTCAGCATTTCATTTCACTCTCGTTTCCGCCATTTTGTAATCACGCGCGGGGTGAAAGCTTATAAAAATTTTCGTTAAATTAACAATAGGAAGCGCTGTAGTCGCAACGGAAAAACGATAATAATTTAAAAAAATGAAAATAAAAATGGCGGTTAGTAAGAAAATTACACTTTTTTGTTTTTTTTTTTTTTTTCCCCGTTGACGAAAGCAACAATTATTATGTTTTCCATAAAACTTTTTAGGTATAACCTAAATACACCTGTACAAAGACCCCTGTAAGGATAATGTATAATAAATATTCTATATATGCCTTGCATAATGTAATTTCAACACTTTTTTTTTTTCTTCCTATAGTTATCATTATTAATATTATTATTTAATATTAAAAAACAAAAAAATCTCTCTTCGTTAATTAATTAGACAATTAATAATTATTATTATTATTTAAATTTGAGACGTTTCGTTATTATGATCACGTGTGTGATCATTGTCTGTTATTCACAGGTTACCATTGTCAAATATTTCTTAATTGTGGTCGAACGAGAGAGAGAGAGAGAGGGAGAGAGAGGCGGTTGGTTAAAATGATGGCAGGTGCGCCAACACTTCCGCACAAAAAAATAATCAAAGTGCCAAAGTCGTAACTAACACAATTAAAGAAAATAAAAAAAAAAACGAAAAAGTTCTTCTGTTGTTGTTGTAGGTTTTTCAGCGTAGGATTATTACCAAACCTTGCTATATCGTGGGAATAGAATTAAAAACTCAAACCGCGAGCATAGAGAGAGAGAGAGAGAGAGAGAGATAACTATTAACTTATGACACTGTTTTTCTCGTTCGAAAACTAATTTTCCAAAAAACCAATTTCGGATATAGTTCTTGGCACGTACAAAGTTTTTTTTTTTTTTTTTTTTTTTTTTTTTCGACAGTCTGAGTTGTTGTTGTTGTTTTTTTTGCGGTTTCATTGTAAGGTCTAATCGTGACAATCAAAACAAGCAAACGACTAAAACAAATAATTAAATTCAATGTCAGGTGACGTATTTAATAATAATAATAATAATAATACATAATCTTCATCTTTTGTCTTCCGCCTGAAGAATTACAAAAAAAAAAAAAAAAAAAAAAAAAAATGTAGAGAAAAAAGAATGGAAGAAAAGCGTTTAGAGTTATATACGTTGTTATTAATGTACATGATGTATTGAATTATTGATTGATTATCGATTGAATTACAGCAAAGAGATAGATATACGCGCAGGTATACGTGCGTGAGTGAATGATCCGTTGAAAAAATTAAGGAAAATAAAATAAATAAAGAAAAGCATGAATGAGAGGGGGAGGGGGGGAAATTGACTTTTCATTGCCATAATTTCACTTATTGAAAAATTAAATGAGTATTGATTTATTGATTTATTTTTATTTTTTTAAAATAATTTTATAAATTCGATGATGAAATTATTTAGGTTATTTTTATTATTATGTCCACTATTAAACACGACAAGGCTCTTATTTGTCGGGGTTTTTAAATATTTATCCCAGGTTTCTACCCGATTCCTTAGGGACAAATACTCGAATATCGGTGGTGCTATTTATAATATTTTCCGAAGAATGTGGGCCGTCCCACATAGTGCGATTTCCTGGATGGTTTCTTCTTTTAGGTTCTTCATAATCTTCTTTAAATTTCCTTTTATTGAATGTGGCATGGCTCCCAATGCTCCCACGATGACCGGAATCGTTTCTGTTTTTGTTCCCCACATCCTGGTTATTTCGATTTCCAAATTTCTATATTTCAGCCTTTTGTCTGCTTCTTTGGCTGTGGTGTTTTTCTGCCGGCACGG